GATTTGACGTTGAAATGATGTTAAAAGGTGTCAAGGAGTGAAGAAAATGAGTTAGAAATCACTTACCAATCGTTTTGAAGAAAAAGAATTGCTTGGGAAATCGCCTCTTATGTTTTGGGTTTTTGAAAAGTGAGAAAATAACTGAAAATCCGGTGTTTTTATACCCTCTGAAGCCCCAGCGCGGACCGCGCAAAAAGGACCGCGGCCGCGCTGGTGAAACTGAAGACTGCTGGCTCTCTGAAGTTTGCCACGCGGACCGCGCAAGGACGACCGCGGCCGTGCGGCCTACACCGCGGACCGCGCTAGGGCGACCGCGGGCGCCCTGGAGCCTGCAATTTTTCCTGACCTGCAATATCTGGTGTTTTTAAGTCTAAGACCTCCCGGAACCTACTCGAAACTCATCCGAGCCCTCGGGGCCCCAAACCAAATATACGCACAACCTCAAATACACCCTACGAACTCATGCGTGTGATCAAATTGCCAAAATAATATCATATACATCGAATCAAGCCTCAAAGCTCATGATTCCTTCTCAAATTTTTCATAAGACATAAAATTCCCATTTCGGGTCCGAAACACGTCAAACGACGTCCGTTCTCAACCAAACTTTACAGAAAGTGCTTAAATCATATATAAGACTTGTACCGGGCGCCGGAACCACAATACGGGCCCAATACCACAATCTTTTAATCAAATTTCATTTCCAATTTCCTTAATTATTTCCAGAAAATAATTTCACACAAAAATTTATTTCTCGGACTTGGGACCTCGGAATTTGATTCCGAGCATACGCTCAAGTCCCATATTTTCCTACGGACCCTCCGGGACCATCAAATCACGGGTCCAGGTCCGTTTATCAAAAACGTTGACCGAAGCCAAATTTATTCAATTTAATATCAAAATCTAGAATTTTTCTCACAGAATTCATATCTAAGCCTTCCGGCTACCCGCCCGGACTGCGCACGCAAATCGAGACAACCCGTGAGGAGGTTTTTAAGGCCTCGAAAGTACAGAATGAATAATAAATAAGTGATGACCCCATTGGGTCGTCACAAAATGAGAACGAAGAAGAGAGGGAAGAAGGGAGGGCGTAGCGTCGGCGATGGGGTCATTTGCCAGCCGATGATGAAACCGACATCGGCAGTGGCTATGAAGGGAGGAAGATGCTGGAAGCTTCTCTCAAATGAAGAGAGAGAGCTTTTTTTAGATGAGAGGCAACAGGGGGTGAGCCGGCTGCTCTTAGAGAGAGAGAGAGAGAGCATGAGAGACTAATTGAAAATTAGGGTTTTCAATCCCTTAAAACCAAAATCTGATAGTGTGTCCCTTAATTAATTGAACCTAAAAATGTAAAAGAGATTCCATTCATTAAAATTTAAATAATATTATTGACAACAACAGAATAAAATTTAAAATATGCAATATTTCAATATTAATAATATATATATATATATATATATATTCGACCAAATACTGTTATTTCCGACCGATTTTTTTTCCGACCAAATACTATACATTTAGGTAGTGTGTTATAAATTTAGAATAAATCATCGGCCAATCCACTCATGGTTAGTGTAATTATCAATTTATATAACCTAATTGTCACTAATATACTTCTACGTAATGTAATTATCAATTTAAGGTCGAATCGAACCTAACATTACTTAAGGATACTACAAATGCACTTATACTTAGTGTAATGCCAATCTATAAGCTAATTACAACTAATACACTTACTCTATATATATATATATATATATATATATATATATATATATATATATATATATATATATATATATATATATATATATATATATATATAAGCTATATTCGATATAAGATGTATATATAGTATAGTATAGTATATACTAAGTGTATTGAATATTAAAATTCAGGGATCTATAACAAGTTAAAACATAGCTATAGGAAGTAATTTAGTAAATAGTAGCTATGGCAAGCTATATTCGATATAACATTAGCTATATTAAGATGTCTATATATATATATATATATATATATATATATACTAAGTGTGTGTATAGTATATAAGCTATATTTGATATAACATTAGCTATATTAAGATGTATACAGTATATATATAGTATAATATATACAATAAGTATATAGTATATAAGCTATATTCGATGTAACATTAGCTATATTAAGATGTGTATATATAGTATAGTATAATATATATACTAAGTGTATAGTAGTATATAAGCTATATTCGATATAACATTAGCTATATATATATATATATATATATATATATATATATATGTGTGTGTGTGTGTGTGTGTGTGTGTGTGTGTGTGTATGTGTCTATATATGTATGTATGTATTAAATATTATTTACTTAAAAGCTATTTATTATTTACTCACACACACACAAAAAAAAATATTAATGAATTTATATTGCAATTATTTTAAAATCGTTTTTCCGACCGAAATCGGTCGGAAATATTTAATTCTAACTTATTTCGGTTGGTTAATTAAATATATATAATTTTTGTTTTGGGCGGGAAATAATTATTTCAAACTTTCCGACCGATTTCGATCGGAAATTTGGAAAAAATTTAATAAATAATTATTTTTGTACATTATATACGTGGATGACCAAATAGTTGACCAATTTTCGACCGAAATCGGTCGGAAATTTGAAATAGTTTTAATAAATAATTATTTTTGTACATTATATAAATATTTGATATATTTCCGACCAAATTCGGTCGGAAATTTGGTAAATTTTCAGAAATAATTATTTTTACATATCATATACAAGTATGACCAAATATTTGACAAGTATGACCAAATATTTGACTAATTTCCGACCGAATTCGGTCGGAAATTTGGTAAATTTTCAATAAATAATTATTTCTGCACATGACCAAATATTTGACTAATTTCCGACCGAATTCGGTCGGAAATATGGCAAATTTTCAATAAATAATTATTTTTGCACGTTATATACAAGGATGACCAAATATTTGACCAATTTTCGACCGAAATCGGTCGGAAATTTTATTTTTTTGCTGTCAGCCAATTTTTGTTGACTTTTGCGACCAACTACTCCTATTTCCGATCGATTTCGGTCGGAAATCACCTGATTTCTAGTAGTGATATTTCAATAGTATTCGTGTCCTTACAAATGTTCAGTCCTCACATTTTATAGCTATCTCTAGGTAATACGTTTTATTTCTCTCATAATAGAGTCATTATGGACAATTAATGGCATTTAATGTAACGTTATAATTGGTAATCATAACTGATTCAATACAGATTCCATATCTTTTTCCGTGATTAATGCCCATTAATTACTAACAATACGTATCTATACCCCTTTTGCTGTTTAGGTTCATTCTTCTGATGCGACTTCTGAATATCAATAGGTTCGAGCACCTATCCTTTCCGACTTCCTTGTATCTCTCTTCAACTATTCTTTGCCAACTGTCATTCTTTTACCCGTCCACATGTCATGACATGTCACCTCATAATTAATTCTATACATGAACTTAATTTTCCCCAATACAATCATTACAAGAGTTGATCATAGTATCCGATGCTTTGATACTTATTCACCTATTACGTACAATTAATACATAACTTTTACAAAAACACACTTGTCGATTAAGAATTGCAAAACAATACAACATGGATTAACCAAACAAAACCAAAAGGAGTACACCAATTATAAAAGAATCATGTTATTAGAGACCAGCACGAAATGGCACATTGGTTGCAGGCAACCATGATCGACCAGCAATAAAATTTTCCACACTGAACTTTGCTGCTTCATTTGAATTTGTGATCACTCGATATCCGCGCCATCTGACTCTCCTACTAGTCGATGCTCCAGGTCCACTGTTCCTATATTCTCCATAGTAGAGAGTATTTAAAGCAAAATTACCATCCCATTCTAGCCAACCAGCAGGATCTACCAATGAATCAAGGTACGTTTTCATAAAAACAGTACGTGAATATTGTTTCCAAGGTCTTCCCAAAAATGTCTTGAATGTACTTAGCAGAGGCCTAAGATCAGAAGCTGCCATAACTCGCGAATTGTGTATTGAAATTCCTGTATTTTGGTTAGGATCAGTGCGGCCTTGTGCTGTTATAGTAATCTTCTGTTTATCCATTGGCTTCCTAGCAAATATCATGCAGTTTTGCAAAACTACTGCGGCGTTACCAAAAATGAAGTCAACTGTCCCATATATGTAGCATTCTTTATAGAATTGTCTTTGTGAATGGGCGTAAAGCGTGTCTTGATATCCTTCAAATCCACAACGATAGAAAACGGATAGGTCAGATCCAGAACGCAGTGCAACTGCTTGATGGTTTTGTGGACCAGCTGTGTTGCGGAATGTAATGCCTCGAGCAATGAATCCTTCCCCAGTAACAGCTGCAAGTTTGTAAGAGGGTCAAAAAAATTAATTTTTGCAATATATAATACTAGTTACAATAAAATATAACAAGTGATGGAGTATTTCTATTTAGTTTGAACATGAATATCAACGTAAATTATATATATTTCATGAAGTTATAAACTCGATCGCTGTATTAGAGATTTATTTTTAAGTAGGGTGAGACCGAAATAACTAATTTCGTAACAATCAAATATCTCTAGGAAAGTCTGAAATAATTAACTTGGTTGTCATCAAGCAATGACATGTTCAATAGTTCAGTTTTCATGTCATTACATCTTTTATGAGGAGTATATACATTAATTATTCGTCTTTTATCTCTCTAATTGTTAATATAAATAGCATTCTATTAATATAAAAAGAAATTACGTAATTTCCTACATTTTTGGCAATTTAAACACACGTCATTAAATTGATAAATCTCTTATAAATAGTGATATGTTTAAGAGAGAGCACGGGGGTTTAAGAGATAAACATGTTTTTGGAGCTATCTCTTTACATGCTTTATTTAATTCCACAAAGACTTTGAATGTCAAGATTAGTTTCCTTAATTTTATGTTTGCATTTAATTAGTTAAAAAAGAAGAAGATAGGATGGCAGAATACTTACCAACAGTAGCAGATTTAAACGTGGTAGAACCTCCTACTACACTGCGGCTACCCGTGATAATGGTGTACCTCAACCCATCACCAACCAACATAATATTCTTCATTTTGTTTCCAATCTCCAAATTTTCTCTGTAAACTCCACGCTTCACATGTATAATAAACCTTCCATTTCCGCTTCTTTTAGCAGCAGCATCTAACGCTGCTTTAATTGTCCGGAAATTCCCCGTACCATCTTGAGCCACCACTATATTTGGCCTTATGGAAGATAATTGCAACAATTTTCTGTCACCTGGATGAACCCAAGTTGGGAAACCATCTTTGTAAGTTTGCTTCAAAGTGGACCCATTAATATTGTTGAGTGCCAAAGTGTTACAAATTAATTCAGACACATTGTTGGACATGAGACTAGGTAAAATGTAGTCTGAATTAACGCCTAGCTCAGCGAACCCGGTTCGACAAGTTTCAAGATTTGTTAAGGCTGTACTTAACCATGTTTGTGTATCAAAATCGGTACACTTGGTATTTGGGTCGAGTGTTTTATTGAGTTGGATAATTATGCTCTCGTAGAGGTTAACACAATCGGACCAAGCTGCCTTCTCGCGTTCATTCCGACACTTCGCACCTAGTTGTTTGGTGTAAGTCTCAGCTTGGAGGGCTCTTTCCATGGCTATTTGCATTGCCATTTTCTTGAAATCCGTCTTGTGCTTGGGTGCGAAATGATACGCACCATGGTTCATGAAATACTTGCCTTGATTGGGGTAAGGGGCTTTGTTGCACCAATCATTGATGTCATGGTCAAAAAGGGTAATGGAAAAAGCAGGAAAAAGGAATGTAGAAAAGGAAATGAATAGTGCGAAGAAACCAAGCTTTGTCTCCATTGGTTAAAATTTCTTTTGATAGCCATAACTTTGAGAATGGCTAGGTTATATAGTTGCACAAGTGAGGTGACAGGTTGTGTTGAGATGGATTTTGAGCATGATTGAGGACATAATTCAGGAATAATAGCAAAGTCAAATGCAATATTTTCTTTATAAGTACAAACTGCAAAGTTTCCCTTGACGAATATTGTCTAAACTAATTTTCTGAAGATAATTTAATCATAACTAACATTAGGAACCTATATTAAAATGAAGTCATGCCAGTCTAATTCAATCAATTGAAAGAACTACGTGTTTGTCAAATAGCTGTACCGCACGTCTATGTTCTATATCAACGAATTATTGCGTGTTACAATTAACTAGCTTCTCAAATTCAAACAAGATAATAATACAAAAAACGTTAAAGGCAGTTGCAAAAAGTCCACGCGATATCTGTTTGAAAATGGCATGAAGCATTTCTAATTAGTCCATTTTGTTTCTATTGAAATATAATTTATTCTATTGAAATATAATTAAGTAGAATTTTTGGGAAGATTTATTTTGTGGGCTACAAGCATTATACCAGTTGGAAGAATTCATGCTTAACAAGGATTCAATGTATGAAATCACTTGCATAGAAGGAAAGGCGTGTGAAGTAGGAGTTATTTAAGGAAACAAAGTTCTACTAGGATTGTTTACCTTAACCAATTTCTTTATGTTTGGAGCAAAAATTGAAAAAAAATTCGGTCCAACTTCACGCTTTTATAAAGCATCATGTTGCTGCTATTGAGGCTTATGCTAATTTGCACAATTACCGCAAATCACTCACGGCAAATAGCAATCTTAGCAAGAAGGTGCTTTCAAGAATTCAAACTACACAACTAAAGTACCTGGTCCTGAGGATGAAGTTGTCTAGTTCTTTAGTTGTTGAGTCTTGATTCATTGGTCTTTGTCACAACCCAAATCTACCTCCGTAGGAGGTCGTGATGGCACCAAGTCTTAGGGACTAGGTAAGCCTAACATTCATTGAAATAATAACAATATTAAATAACAACTGACAAATGCAAAGTAGAAGTCTCTATACAAGACTTACAAATCCCAAAATCGGTAATACAAGTCATAAGCTTTACTGAGTCTACTAGAAAACCTATAAAATACAAATGTTTCGAAGTAGAGATAAAACAGTGCGAATATAAAATCAGAAGGTGACTCCGAAGCCTGCAAACGCAGCAGCAGGTTAACCTTGAGTCTCCAGAGCAAAATCCGTACAGCTAGCTAACGATCGACTAACTCCGAAATACCTGGTTCTACACAAAAATAATGCAGAAGCGTAATATGAGTACACCACCGCGATACCCAGTAAGTACCAAGACTAACCTCGGTGGAGTAGTGACTAGGAACAGTCAAGACACCTACTGGACTAGATAACCTGGACAAGTATAAGAGTGGAACTAACAGAATGCGATCTCTTTACAAAACTACGCGTAATGACAACGATAGTATGGTACTTGCAATAAGAAATAGAAACAACAATTAGCAATGGAACTCAACGAGTAATAACACAGTAAAGTAAGCTGAACACAGTCTAAATCTGGTGAGAACATGCAAAGGAATGACAGGTAACAACTAGATGATCTAGAATAACCACTTTCACACCAAGTTTTATCCAATAATCTCCACGAGGTACCAAACCTCAAAATATTCACAAGTCACAGGTCCTAATTAGTGAACCCTAACAATTGGCATCTTGTGCCCTCATTACAATAGGTAACTGCACGGCTACTCACGTGCCAATAAAGCCATTCTCACATAGAAGGCAAGTAGACAAGGATGTTATGAATGAGCAATAACAGCATGATACATCTTCTTAAACCGTTAAGGGTGATTAAATACGTATATGCTTGTGCCAGAATTTTATCGTAATTCAGACCAACTAGTAAGAGTAGAAACAATGAAAGGCACATAAGAGACGATCATCACAAAATGTACACGGTATAACCCACACCGGATAGGCACGCCACTATGCAAATATCAACAATAATGATGCCCCAGGTCATCACAATTCAATCCCCGACATACCCCACCTTGTCTCACCACATGCGCAATAATAAAGTAAATGCCCACCTTGTCTCGCCACACGTGCATAATAATATTCTCACCTTGTCTCGCCACATGCACAACCCACATATATAGCCCACCTTGTCACACCGCATGTGCACGTATCAATTGTAACAATAGCACCGCAGAAACCTCGTGCAACACAATAACACCCGCATGACAGAGACCTCGTGCATCACAATAAGAATCGCACGGCAGAAACCTCGTGCATCACAATAACAACCGCACGGTAGAGATCTCGTGCAATACAATACTGAGTATAACAGCAACAATGACAATAATACAAGAGTACGGTAAGTAAATCAACTCAAGAGCACTCGATCTCAAACAAACGGTAGGACGAGTTCACAAAGAATAATCACAATAGAGAATACTAGTCACAATAAGAATAATTCAGCAGGGGAGAATGATGTGTAACAACGATCCCACAAAGAAGAATTCAACAACAAGGGAGATAACACAATTCAATAATTCCAAATAAGGATAAGTCAACCATGACAAAGGATAAATAAATTCTTTTAGGATTTAACAATCACGAAATAGGTACAACAATTACAATTAAGGATAAGCAACGAAAAGGATAATCATGACCTGAACTAAGGATAGACAATTACAGAAGAGATAATAATAATTTGAAATAAAGATAAGCAGTTAGGAAAGAATTGCGTGGCAATCGATGAGGTAACAACTTCAGTTAAGGCACATAAGAGTCAAATAGGCAATAAGAGTGGAACAAGAAGCAACTAATTCCAATAAAATACGTAGAAGTGAAACTAGTAAATGAGGAACTTAACATAACAAAACAACTTCATATCTAATAAACATAAGAACCTACAAGCCCTAGAAGGTCAATTTCCCACAAATAAGCCCGAGCACGTACTAGTCACCTTGCGTATACGGACTTTGCATGATACCATTAGCATAAAAGACTTAAATCCTAAGGGGTAGTTCTCCCACACGAAGTTAGGCAAGATACTTACCTCAAAGAAGATAGACTGTTACTCTAAAATGAGCTTCTCGAGTGAAATAACGTCTGTACGGTTCAAATCCCAAATATTTAGTCTAAGAAGTTTTCACAATTTTTTCCCAAATTTACAACTCAAATCACTAATTAAATGATGAAAAACAATGATATATTCATGTATATTAGAATCACTTACCCCGATGAATGTCTTGAAAAACCCACGAAAAATCGCCACAAACAGAGCTCCCAAAGTCCAAATGTGAAATAATACCCTAACCCTCGTTTATATAGTACACAATCTGACCTCTCATTTTGCTGACCGCACATTTTTTGGTGCGGTTGCACATCCTAGGTTCTGCGGCCGCTATCCAAATTGTGCGGTCGCACTTCTATGGTGACTGCACTACTAGGCTTTTGTAAATTGACCATAACATTCTGTACAAATATCCAAATGATTAGTTGTATTCCTTTCTAGAAACTAGATTCAAAGGTCTACAACTTTCGTTCTTAGATCATATCGAAATTCCTTAAAGATCAAAAGATATAAGCTTCCGAAGTCAGACCATCGAACCTGCAGAATCCCCTTTCCGCGGCCGCGAGAAGAATTCTGCGGACCGCACAATTTCAACTGCGGTACGCACATTTTCAACTGTGGTCCGCACAATTACCACCGCCTCTGCACTTTGGGAGTTTGCGGCCGCACATCCTCGGTCTAAAATGTGTCCTCCGCACTTCAATCGTTCTAGAACATCATCAGGAGTACCGAAATGCTCAAACTCGTTCAAAACTCACCCTGAAGCACACCCGAGGCTCCCGGAATCTCAACCAAACATACCAACAAGTTCTAAAACATAACTCGGACCTGATCGAGGACTGAAACCACATCAAACAACGTTAAAACTATGAATCGCACGACAAATCAAACTCATGAATTTCCAAATCTTCCAATTCCAAAACTCGTGCCGAAACATATCAAATCAACCCGGGATAACGCCAAATTCTGCATGTAAGTTCTAAATGACATAACAGAGCTAATCCAACTCTTGTAATCACATTCCGACCCCGATATCACCAAAGTCAACTCTTGGTCAAACCTCTCAACCTTCCAAAACTTCAACTTTTCCAACTCTCGCCGAAATGCTTCAAATTACTCCACGGACCTCCAAATCCAAATCCGGACGCACGCCTACGTCCAAAATCACTATAAGAAGCTTTGGAATAATCAAAATGCCATTTCAGAGTCGTGTACATAAAAGTCAAATTCCAGTCAACTCTTACCGCTTAAGCTTCTAAAACAAGAATCCTTCTTCCAAATAGACCCGAATAATCCGAAAATTGAACTCGGCCACACATGCAAGTCATAACACACAATACAAAGCTGCTCAAGACCTTAAGCCGTCGATTGGGACGCTAATTCTCAAATTGACCGGCCGGGGCGTTACATCCCGCCCCCCCCCCCCCTCTTAAACCAACGTTCGTCCTCGAACGTGCCAAAAATGGTTCCAAAGTCATCAAATCACTGAATGTGTTCACCCTACCTACACCTGTGGGTGATCCCACGTTACCCCAATCCACATAAGCCCGTCAACACAATAAGCCTTGGAACCCAAGTTCTCACCGTTCGTTTACTTCCAAAAGAACAGATTCCTACGTCAACACACGGTACCAACCTCAACCAACTGCAATAACTCATGCCTATACCCACCAGGTACGACCACACAACGTAACACATCACACATATGCCCATATAACATTTCTAATCACAATAGTTGCCCGTAATCAAATCCAGCACCGGCAATTAGCCTCACAATCCGTCAGAACCCTATTTCAAACCTTCGCAACACTAACAACGATGCAATAAACATGAATACCTCAAAACTATTCACCTGAATCAACAGTCACAACTAACACCACCAGGGCACACACCTCACAAGCTAAAACTCAATAAGCACAGCAAGAAAATGAATGAATATGTAAGGAGAAACA